TGGGGTTGGGGTACGGGTGGGAACCCTTGTGTGTGTGTGTGTGTGTGTGCTCCAACCCCTCAAACCCCTCAAGCTCCAAACCCTAAGCCCCTGAACCCGAACAGCTAAGATCCAAACCGCAAACGCAAACCCTAAGCCCTAAACGCTAGCCCCTAACCCCCTCAAAGCCCCAACGCTTCTCAAGCACCTCAGGCACGTTTCGGTTGCTGCGGCTGGCCATGGCCCTGGCTAGTTAGGGCTTTGCTTGGTTACTAGCGGTTTTCGGGCTTCAGGGTTTAGGGTTCTAGGGGTTTGGGGGTTTTTGATTTAGGGCTTTGGGGTTGTAGGGGTTCAGGATTTCAAGGGGTTGCGGCCTCAGGGTTTAGGGAAGGTTCAGGGCTGAGGGGGTTCAAGGAGGGCTCGGCTCAGGATATGTCTATCGAGCTGAGGTTCAAGGGGCCTCCTTCGGTGGGACCTAAACCTTACCGATTGGCCGCTAAAGCCTCAAAGCTTGAGCCTAAAGTCCCAGATGCTCGCCCCAAGCACTAAACTCGATATACTAGCCTAAGCCATCGAACCTTAAACCCACATACACATACACATACACATATGTCCATGTCCATGTCCATGTCCATGTCCATGTCCATGTCTATGTCAATGTCAATGTCTATGTGTATGTATGTGTATGTGTATGTGTTTGTGTATGTGTATGTGTATGTGTACGTGTATGTGTATATGTATGTGTGTGTGTCGATGTCGATGTCTATGTCTATGTCTATGTCTATGCCTAAGTCTATGTCTATGCCTATGTCTATGTCTAGTTCTATGTCTATGTCTCTGTCTATGTCTATGTCTACGTCTATGTCTATGTCTACGTCTATGTCTATGTCTATGTCTATGTCTGTATGCATATTTGTATATGTCTATATACGTAGCACGCCAAAACACAAAACCCTGGGCGCTACATGTACATACAAAGATCTTGTTTGCCAAGATTTGATTTTTACATGTGTCCCAAACAAAGCGAAGGCCTAAGAGGCTCCACCCCTAAACCCCTAAACCCCTGAACCCCTGAACCCCTAAACCCTAAACCCTAAACCCTAAACCCTAAACCCTAAACCCTACACCCTAAACCCTAAACCCTAAACCCTAAACCCTAAACCCTCAACCCTAAACCCTAAACCCTAAACCCTAAACTCCGAACAGGCACAGGGTCCCTCGAGACAAAACTCTAGCCGCGAACCCTGAGGATGAATCTAAGGGTAGTTTCGTCCTCTTTTTTTAAAAGGTTCTGATGTATGGGCCCTTAGGTTGTGCAGGGTATATAAGGGGTTTGTTAGGGGTACCCTTTTCAGGGTCCATACTAAGGGACCATGTTACTACCCTTACAATGAACCACTCCCGCCTATAGGGGGCAGCGTTAGGCGCTTTAGGTTTGAGGGTTGAAGGGTGGTACGGCCATGGAATGTTTGAATGTCGGGGGGTTTTTGGGGAGGGGGCTTCGTATTCATGGGAAGTGTTCAGTAGGGTTCTGAACAGGGTTATGAGGTTTAGGGTCTAGGGTTATGAGGTTTAGGGTTTAGGGTTTAGGGTTTCGGGCTTAGCCAGAGCTTGGTAGAAGTCCCGAGCGGCGAAGGCCCGGACGGTGAAGCTGCTGATGAAGTGCCGCAACCTGACACTGGGCTGCAGAAGCCCCAAGCTCGAAGCCCTGAGCCCTAAGCCCTGAGCCCAAACCCCTGCGCCCTGAGCCCGACGCTTTAAGCCCTAAGCCCTAAGCCCTAAGCCTGAAGAAGCCCTAAGCCCTAAGAAGCTCTAAGCCCTACGAAGCCCTAAGCCCTAAGAGACTGTCGTGCTGACGCGCGCGCATCCCAAGAGCCCTGAAGTTGCAGCGTTCCTGCAAGGTGAAGTGTTTGGACAGTGCGCTTGTTGTCGTCTTCAGCATATCCATGCCCCAGACTCGCATGCACTTGGCCCCAAATGGAATCCTAACCTAAACCCTAAACCCTATACCCTCAGCCCGAAATCCTACACCCCAAACCCCAAACCCCAAACCCTAAACCCTAAACCCTGAACCCTAAACCGGCTTGCTCTAGGGCTGATAGGGTTGATCGTAGGGTACCGGGCTTCAAGTTGTAACCGTGCATGCGTGCTCTCATGCTGCTTACGGCTGTCAATGCGCAGGCCTGCAGGTTTCCTGCACTGCTTCGCTCAGCGGTTTCCGTTCAGAGGGAGCTTCGTTCTCCGAGCTTTGCCTGGAGTGTTTATAGGATTTCAGGGCCTTCTAGGGCTTGCGCACCTAAACCCTAAACCGCAAAACCCGAAAGCCGGAAACCCTTAAAAAACCAAAGGTGGATGCTGGTGACAGCCTCAGCTCGATTGCAGGGCATGTAGTCTGAGCTCAGGGGGTTTCCGGGGGCAACAGTTGGGGTTTAGGGGGGGGGGGGGGGGCCTGCTCAAGCGCCAACCCTGCTCTTTTTTGCGGGTTGCCCAAGAGTCTTGTTATGAAGGGGTTTTAGAGCAAGAACCTGCAAAAAAGTAGGTTTGGGGGTTCTTGGGGTAGGGTGCTTTATGGGGTTTAGCAGTTTAGGCTTCGGGGGGGGCCAAGAACCTTGAGGTTTCAATGTGTTTAAGGGGCTTTGGATGGTCTGTTGCCAAGGTTTAGGATGGGTTAGGCTACGGCGTGTTGCGGGTTGCGGGTTTAGGGTTTAGGGTGCGGCTCGGGGCAAAGCTTCGCGAGTCAGCTAGCGACTAAGGTGTGAACACGGATAACTTTCCAGCCCAGTGTAGAAGAAGAACACACTTTTGATCATAGCTCGGAAAGCTACACATGGTTTAAGGCATACTCGCCTCTTGATCCTTATTGGCTCCATGGGCTTCTCCTAAGCTCAGGACCCTTAACTTAGTGAATTCTCCTTGCTGTAGCGGATCTACCCTACAACCATAAGCAAACATACCTTCCTCCTATGTGGTCTGACCCTCCTTTCCTCAACCCTCAACCCTCAACCCTCAACCCTCAACCCTCAACCCTCAACCCTCAACCCTCAACCCTCAACCCTCAACCCTCAACCCTCAACCCTCAACCCTCAACCCTAAACCCTAAACCCCAAAAGGCCCTAGTTGACCCAAGGTCCGCGGACTCATGTCCTCGGTGGGAACCATGGTGGGCATCCCAGGAAGGGTTAGGCAGGGTTTATAGGGTTTAGGGTTTAGGGTTAAACCAGGAAGGGTTCAGCAGGGTTTGTAGGATTTAGGTTGGGATGTTCCCTGTATACTAACAGCCCTCTTCATCGGGAAACATGTTTCTTGGTTTCTTGAGGCTTCGTTCCCTCCGATAGTTTTGAGCTTTCATGCCCTTGGCTATGTGTTCTTTCGGGCTCTGGGCTTCTCAGGATTTTTCAGGCTATTTCAGGGCTTAGAGTTTCGGGAGGCTCTTGAAGGTTTCAGGGTGTAGGCTTAGGGTTTAGGGTGCCTGGGGCGGGCGAGCATCGTGTGAGCATGAGCCGGGACCCGTCCAGAAGACGAAAAGCACCTTGAGCAATCACCGACCAGCCAATGCCATGTGACTTGGCTGGCGGCCTCTGGCCAGAGCTCATGATGCTCACTTGCAGGAGCCATTCTGGCTGATGCTCATGATGCTCGCTTGTCTGGCGGCCAAGGACAAGAGTGAGTCCGGCTAGCTCCTGCTGCTCGTTTGGCTGGTCCCCCCTATGGCAAGAGCCAGTCCGGCTGATGCTTCTGATGCTCGCTTTGCTTTGCGGCCTATGAGCCAGAGGCCGCAAGCAAAGCCTGACTCTTGTCAGAAGCCGCCAGCCAAGTCAGCGCGAGCATCAGCTTATAAGCCGCCAGCCAAGGGAGCATCAGCTGGACAGGCCACAAGCAAAGCGAGCATCATGAGCATGCCCTTGCCATAGACCACCAGCCACGCGAGCATCAGTCCGGCTGATGCTCATGATGTTCACTTGGCTTGGTCAGAGACTGCCATGAGCTTGGAGGGCCCCCGCCTCATGTGTGGGCCTCTAGCAGTGTGGGCCAGCATCGCGACCAAGCATCATGGGCATCACCAGGACGCCCTGAAGCATCTCTCCCGCACCTTGCGAAAGGAGCCTCGCTTGTTTTAGGAGCCGAGGCTTGGCGTCATGAGCATGAGCAGGGGCACACAGAAAGCTCCAAACAACAAAAGCCATGTATTTTCCGGCCCAGATGCCAATCTTGCTGTTGCTTGTCATCATCCTCTACGTCTTCAGCGCCCTCGGCCGGGCGCTTAAAGAACCGGGCCCCTACCGTGAGCCCTTGCAAGCCCTAATCACCTAATCCCGAACCCCCGAAAACGCCCACAAGCCTCCTCCCCCTGCCCTGTCTGGGTTGGTAGTCCGTCCCTAAACCCCATACCCTAAACCCCAAACCCCTATCCCTGAAGCCCTAAAACCCCAAATGCCCCAATCCGAAGCCCCTCCCTTCCCCCCCCCCCCCCCCCCCAAAAAAAAAAAAAAACTTAGGGTACATAACCCGGACCCTAAACCCTGAAACCCTAAACCCCCCAAACCCCAAAACCCTGCACCCCAACAACCCTTGCCAGAGTTCCCCGAAGCCCTGAATGTAATGGGTTTAGGTTTTTTTGGGGTTTACGGGGTACTGTATATTCCTTAGTGGCTTGTGCAGGTGGTTTTAGGGCTTGGGGTTCAGGGTTGTTTGGTTGGAATGTAGGTGCCAGGGTCCCTGCAGCACATTCCTACTCTATTTCATGTCTGTTCCTGGAGTTCTCATATGGGGGTGTAGGAAAAAATAGGGGACCGTTTAATGTAGACCTCTAAACAGAAGGATCCTGTTATTATCATATGGACCCCAAGAAGGTACCCTAATATCGTGTACCGTTCTTTTAACGAGGTTTGGGCTCGGAGATCGGGGAATACCGTGGAATGTCAAGGTATTGGGCTTTCTGGGAAGGCAACACTCAAAGTTGTGCGACTGCTGGCCCGCCGGGATTTGGCAGGGTGAGGCTAGATTGAATCGACGCCACTGCCATGCTGCGCGTGTGGAGCCGTGTTTCCGGGGAAGAGCTTGCCGCTGTGCCCAAAGGGACACTGTTTGATGTGGTGGCCGTGAAGCGGCACTTGCGCGCCAAGTACCACTACCCAATGTGCTTTCAAAGGCTTTTTGAGTCTGAGAGCGGCATCGAGGAACTTCCAGGCATGCCTCTGAGAACCACTGAGTGGCAGCTAGTGGTGTCCTCCACATTGGGTAGGCCGGACCTGGAAGACCGAGCTACAGAGGAGCTTGTGCTGTACGCCGCCAAGAAAGGCCATGTTGAAGTAGCCCGTGCTCTTCTGGCCGGAGGAGCCGACAAGGACTGGCAGGACGGTGTTACCAGCGAGAAGACAGCTCTCATGCACGCTTGTGCCCAGGGCCACATTGATATGGTCCGATTCCTCCTTGAAGCTGGTGTCAAAACCAACTTGAAGGACAGCCAAGGCAAAACCGCGCTAATGCACGCAGCGGGCCAGGGCCATGCTGAGATCGTGCATTTGCTTGTGGAAGCTGGTGCCGACAGGAACTTGCAGGACAACCGCGGCAGACTTCCCAACCTCCAGTAGGTAGCGCGTGCCCGAGGCCCGAGGCAAACAAAATCCCACTTTGAAATTGGCAAGCCGCTCGTAGGTGTGGGCGCCTGCGCAAAGCGCCGGTCGCAGTCCATATGACTGGAAGTGACCTCAATCCTGTCCTTCCAGAGCCTCGTGCGGTAGTCTCGATTCTGTCCTTGCACCCGGGCATTCGCATGAGGCCTCGGTGAGTCTAGGACAGTGCAGTGCGTGTGTTTGGGACTTCTTCCCTAAACCCTAAACCCTAAACCCTAAACCCTAAACCCTAAACCCTAAACCCTAAACCCTAAACCCTAAACCCTAAACCCTAAACCCTAAACCCTAAACCCCAAACCCTGAATTGTTTTTGTGCCTCTGTGCAAGGATGGTTGTCCCGCAGGATTATTGATAGTGCTAGAAGATAGTGGGGTCCGACGAGCTCTGGATGTGGGACTTTGTGGCCTCTAGGCCCTGAACTGTTTTTTTTATATGATGATTATTACTATTATTCTTATTACTATTATTATTATTACTATTATTAATATTATTACTATAATTATTATTATTACTATTCTTATTACTATTATTATTACTATTATTTTTATTATTACTATTATTATTATTACTATTATTATTACTATTATTATTATTATTATTATTATTATTTTTATTCTTATTACTATTATTATTATTACTATTATTACTATTATTATTATTATTATTATTATTCTTATTAATATTATTACTATTATTATTACTATTATTATTATTATTATTACGATTATTATTATTATTTCTATTATTATTATTATTACAATTATTATTATTACTATTATTATTATTACTATTATTATTATTATTATATTATTATTGTTTTATATTTTTATGTTTTGCTGTGGGCTTTTAAGGATTTGTTTCAGAAAGCCCAGGCTTCCTCTTGCGAGCGTGGGGACTTGGTTTTTGCATCCGGGAGAGCTCGTCGGATCCGTTCGTTTGGGGGGGTTGCTGGCTGGCATGCCTCAACCTCATGGTGGAAGGTTCGTGGGTAGTTCTCAGCAGGGATATAAGTACCCTAAAACAGGTCAAGTATAGCCATAGTTACCCTTCTTCTCAGCCCACTTCAGCCATTTGTAACTACCTATGAACCTCCAAGTATGGCTTTCGAAGAACGTATAGATTTCGAAGAACGTTTCACGCAATCTTGAAGCTGTGGGCAGAAGCTGCGACACGCATACGCCGTCCGCACTGCGCCACATCAATTTCCAACAGCTTGGCTTTGCTTTGGGCCTTGGGGCACCCTCTGATGGAGGCAGCGACAGGTGGGGCCAGAATGGGTATGGTGGCTATGGCGGTCACGGCTGTCTGTGGAATGCATGGAAGACAGGTTGCTAGACTCTTAGACCTCTCACTTTCAGCCTAGAGCAGGTGCGTGATAGCAAACCCGCAGTGACCACCAGCAGCTTCAGATTGTTTCTAGATTGGTCCTGAGCCGTGCTTCGGCTTTGCGACCGCATACAGACCGGTTAAGAATGCTGCTTCTAGATTGGTCCTGAGCCCTGCTTGCAGCTCGGCTTTCCGACCGCATACAGACCGGTCAAGAATGATTACTCGGTGTCGAAAAAGAAGAAGCCTATGTTTAGTAGCCGGGTTGAAGGTTTAGGGTTCAGGGTTTGCAAGGACCCGCAAACCCTAAACCCTATAAACCCTATAAACCCTATAAACCCTATAAACCCTATAAACCCTATAAACCCTATAAACCCTATAAACCCTATAAACCCTATAAACCCTATAAACCCTATAAACCCTATAAACCCTATAAACCCTATAAACCCTATAAACCATAAACCCTATAAACCCTATAAACCATAAACCCTATAAACCCGATGAACCCTATAAACCCCCTGAACCCTAGAAACCCTATAAACCCTATAAGCCCTATAAACCCTACAAACCCTGGACCCCTAACCCTGAGCCCTAAACCCTAAGCCCTAAACCCTAAACCCTAAACCCTAAACCCTAAACCCTAAACCCGAAACTGTAAACCCGCAGCCCATGTCGGGGGGCTTCAGGGGGGGCTTGAAGGGGAGCTTAAAGGGGGGCCTTTACCCGAGCCCTAGGGATGTTTAGGGTTTAGGGTTTAGGGTTTAGGGTTTAGGGCTTCGTGCACAAGGACCTCGTGCAGATGCAGTATTTCTGAGGAGGGATTCAACAAAAAGGGGGTCCTACCCCCAAAGCCCTCAACACCCCCCCCCCCCCCCCCCCCAAACCCTACCCTATGAGCCTTCAAGCCTGCAAAAAAGGGGTGGCTTCAGCTTCCAGCATCAACCCTCATTCGCAGATGAGGTTGCTGCCTTGGTCACGTAAACCCTAAACCCTAAACCCTAAACCCTAAACCCTAAACCCTAAACCCTAAACCCTAAACCCTAAACCCTAAACCCTAAACCCTAAACCCTAAACCCTAAACCCTAAACCCTAAACCCTAAACCCTAAACCTTAAACCTCACTTCCCTGGTGCCCGAAACCCCGCAACTTTCCGCCCACGCCCACCCCACAACAAGGCTTCGAGATGCTCAAGTACCACGAGCCAAACGCTCGGAATTCTAAGGGACGAGGGGCTTGTCCTAGGACCGGGTATCGGGTCCCCTCTCCCTTTAAGGGATATAAGGAGGAAGCCCAAGAAGGGACCCTGAATCTTATTTCCCATATAGAACCCGTATATATAGCCCCTATATACACCTTGCAGAGTCCCTAACGGTGGATGGACGAAGTCTTGCACCACCTTTCAAGCAACACCTCTGGCACTTTACACCGCAGAACCCCGTACACCCTTTTTCACATTGCCTAGGGTTTAGGGTTTAGGGTTTAGGGTTTAGGGTCCAGGTGGTGCAGGATTTGGGTCATTGGAACAAGTCAGAACCCTGTCCAAGGCCAATGTTACAAAAGGGGGTGTGGGGTTTTTGGCCAGATGCATGGTCCAAGAGCGGCGCAATATTTCGTCCACCCACAGTATGTACCTAAATAACCCGTAAGGTCCATTTTTAGGGTCAGTGCTTTAGTCCCTTCTTTTTTTGCAGAGTACATGTGTACATTAATATCACTTATATACCTGTATATACCCGTATATACCGATATACATCTATATGCATATTATAAACACATGTGATCTCTTCTATCAGGGAGGAACCGCCATCCCCGGTAACCCCTGTATATGCACCTTCATCCCTAAACCCTAAACCCTAAACCCTAAACCCTAAACCCTAAACCCTAAACCCTAAACCCTAAACCCTAAACCCTAAACCCTAAACCCGAAGAAGGGATCCCAAAGCCTTGCATCCCTGGATCCTGCGAGGTACGCCAATGGAGACAACGCCGACGAGGACTTGGTAGCCCCGTGGTACCCTTTACCCTTTTTTTGTTTATGGTTTCCCTTTAAAAAACAACCAACCCCCAAAAACGGGGGGCCCTTATCATAATATGGTTACTGGGCTACCATGAGGAGTTTCGGAACATCGTGGAGACCCACTTCTCCTCCCTGACGCTCACGATGTGCGCGGCTCTGCTTGCGGGGTTCCGTTTCAAGCAAGCCCGGATCCCCTCAGCCCAGAACTCGGAACCCTGAACCCTGAACCCTAAACCCTAAACCCTGAACCCTGAACCCTAAACCCTAAACCCTAAACCCTAAACTTGCAGGTTGGAGGTTCGGTGTGGGTGGGCGTACTGCGGTGGGGATCTTGATGGAGTTTTGTTCCCCTTTGTAGCCCAAGACCGCTCTCAGTTGGTGGTTCAGGGCTTCCGCTTTCAACCCTCAACGCCCCACACAACCCCTGACCCCGAAGCCCCGAAGCCCCGAGGCCCCGAGGCCCCGAGGCCCCGAAGCCCCGAAACCCTAAACCCTAAACCCCGAAACCCGAAACCCGAAACCCTAAACCCTAAACCCTAAACCCTAAACCATCATGGATGCCCCGAACCCTAAACCCTCATGGATGGTAGGCTGGGGAATGAATGGTAGGGCGGAAGGGCAGGGCCCTATTGCACTGCCCTCCCAGAATTCACAGCCGAAACCTGACATCCCAAGACATCCGATTTTGTTGGGACCTAGGGATGTTTAGGGTTTAGGGTTTAGGGTTTAGGGTTTAGGGTATTAGAGATTCCAGCTGCGCCTTTGCCCGTTCTCTCGCCGCGCTTCCGGATCTAGCTGTATGCCTCAACCCAAACCCGGGACCCTGAGGCCACAAACCCAAACCCAAAGCCCTACACCCCTCAACCCCCAGCCCTGAACCCACTCCTTGCAGACTTTGCAGGTGGCCTCAGTTTTTCTTTAGGTGTTTGGGCTTCAAAGCGCCCTTCAAAACCCTCACAAGCGCCACGCTGCTTTTAGACTCAGCTCCCTGAACCCTAAACCCCAGCAGGGAGCTCACCCCCTCAGCCCAAAAACCCTAAAACCCTAAACCCTAAAACCCAAAAACCCTAAAACCCTAAAACCCTAAAACCCTAAAACCCTAAAACCCTAAAACCCTAAAACCCTAAAACCCTAAAACCCTAAAACCCTAAAACCCTAAAACCCTAAAACCCTAAAACCCTAAAACCCCTAAACCCTAAACCCTAAACCCTAAACCCTAAACCCTAAACACCCCCGGTGCCTGCCATGACCTTTGTCTACGAGCGCGGCGACCGGGTGAAGATTCATGGCCTTACCTCGGAGGCGCTTCCGGGTTTAGGGTTTAGGGTTTAGGGTTTAGGGTTTAGGGTTTAGGATAATTTTCAATTTCCCTTCTTTCCTATTCATAAATAATTAAGCACAACTCAGGCTTCTTTGTTGTGGTCTTTTGTGTATACCCAGCTGTGATGATGATGATGATGATGATGATGATGATGATGATGATGATGATGATGATGATGATGATGATTTTGAGTTTAGGGCTTCGGCAAACTTCAACCCTAAACCCCAAGCCCAAAACCCTAAGCATGTGCGGCTAAGGCTCCCAGAAAACTCAACACCCCGTAACCCCCCCCCC